TGTGGACGGAGCATCATAAGAGTTGGCTTCTGGGAGCTCTCTCACCTGTGAGCTGATTAAGGAGATCAGAGAGAAACACAAGGCCTGGAGTGGAGCTCACTCCAGTTTCCCCCAGTGAATTGCACTGGGCTAGCCAGAAGGGTCGATGCTTTAACCTTCATTTCAAACAGGGGCTCCATGACAGGGTATCTGTCATTTTTATTTGGGCCTGTAAACCTCTAGACAGAGCTATGATCCATTTTGGTCAATTTCATGGTCAGAGGATTTTAAAAATCGTAAATTTCCTGATTTCAGCTATTTAAATCTGAAAGTTCATGGTGTTGTAATTGTAGGGGTCCTGACCCAAAAAGGAGTTGTGAGGGGGTCACAAGGTTATTCCAGCGGGGTTGCTACCCTTACTTCTACACTGCTGCTGTCGCTGCCTTCAGAGCTGGGCAGCTGGAGAGCGGTGGCTGCTGGCCGGGAGCCCAGCTCTGAAGGCAGAGCCGCTGCCAGCAGCCGCACAGAAGGAAGGATGGCGTGATACCGGATTGCCACCCTAATGTCTGCACCGCTGCTGGCGGGACGCTGCCTTCAGAGCCGGGCGCCTGGCCAACAGCTGCCGCTCTCCGGCCGCCCAACTCAGAAGGCAGCACAGAAGTAAGAGTGGCAATACCGCGAGCCCCCTAAAATAACCTTGTGACCCCCCCCCTGCAATTTGCTTTTGGGTCAGGACCCTCAATTTGAGAAATGCTGGTTTCCCCCCGTGAAATCTGTAGAGTACAGGATAAAAGCACACAAAAGACCAGATTTCACACTCCGTGACGCGGACGCGGTTTTCACGGCCATGAATTTGGTAGGCCCCAGCTATAATGTATTACAATTCTTGTCATATAATGGGGGGCGTCAACAGGTGGTGCTGTTCCCGTTTTCCAGCTTCTCTCTCTTAGGCCACGTCTACGCTACAAAATTAAGTAGACCTAATTTACGACGGCATACAGCCACCGCAGTAATTATGTTGCTTGTGCGTGTCTATGCTTTGCTCCTTGTATCGGCTGTGGGTGTCCTCACCACACGCGCTGGTATGATTGGCTGTACCATCCGTGTGGAGCATTGTGGGAAGGCTCTGGAAAGCCACTGGCGGTCAACATAAACAACGCCGTCAACCCAGCTACAGCGACCTTGACTCTGCGCCGCTCGGGGAGGGGGAGTTATTAAGTCGGCGCAGTTGGGCGATGACATTGGCAAGAGTGAAATTTAAGTGTAGACGCTTCCATAGCTAGGTGGATGTAAGCTGCCTTGTGTCGCCCTAACTCTGTAGTGTAGTGCAGACCCTAGTGTGCGTGTGTTTAGTCTCTGAAGAAATGCTCGTGTTGCTGATCTGGGTTATAAAAGATTCTGGGGACTGGATGCATTAGGCGCGTTTGTCCTCTGCCTTCGACTCAAACTGGAGTCAATTGCTGAGGCAAAGTAACTGCCACCTGGAAGGTGGAGATTCCTGGACAAAGGAATCCTTGCTTGCTGTTTGCTCACCTCTGCTCCAGGACAGGTGAATACAACACAGGTAAACAAGCTGCACTTAGAATAGAGCCAGACTTACTGATTTCTCCTCCACAGGGAGGACGACCTGCAAGGCCTTGAACATCCACTACTGCTCTGCTGTGGGTTGACAGGTGGTGTCAGAAAAAGGGGCAACAAATAATTAATCATTTTACTGTATAAATACATAAAAGCATCCAGAAACGCAACCGGAGACTAAGACACTGCCCAGTGCTCAGATGGCTATTGGCTGCCCCAAAGCCTGGAGCACTGGGGGCCAACAGTGGACCTTGATTCCCCTTGGGAAATTATCTTTCTGCAGCTGCCTCTGTAGGGGTCAGAGAGCATCGCAGCTGGTGTCACCTCATCGGAGCTGGGGCCTTACTCCGGGGGGAGTTTTGTCAGACTGCTCTGAAAGAGCCGGGACCAACCATTCACTGACATGAAGATTTGTACCTGCACGGCATCCTGCCCTGTGTCACACCCCACTTCCGTATCATACCATAAGGAGCTGGATTTTGACAGGCTGTATGAGACAAAACACATACCGGGCTACCCCCAGAGACACATCCCTGGGATGTTTTGTTATGAAGAGATGAGGAGATGACATTCCCAGATGGGAGCCGGCGTTTCTGGTCTGACAAATACTTTACCTCCGTTTTTCATTTGCGATTTCTTTGGCAGTAAACCCACAACATGCGTGGAAAGAAGCCAATCTGTTGCAAATCTGGCTGGCTATTTTCACAGTAATTATACCATAGTCACATCAAGTATGTTAGGCCATGTTGAATGGAATCAGGTGATGGTCACTGGTTCCTAGGCAACTAGCAACCTCCAATCCAGCGATTAATTCATCTTTATTTGTCATAACAAGGACCAAAATAGAGTTACCTTGTGTTGGGTGCAACACCTTCCATGTTAGCAAATTATCACCTATAATTTTTAATAACTGGAATGATGTCTTATTACTGGCTGCATGATACCTCCAGGATATGTCTCCTAAATCAAACTCCCGCACAGCAGCACCACATCTGTCTGTAAAGAGGAACTCGTTCTGAGGGGTGCCCACTTAATCCTTAATCCCTCCTAAACAGATTATAACCAATCCTGTGAAGGGTTTCATCCGGGTTCAGTAATGCCAATTACATAAATATATATTGTTTTTCTCGTCAATGAGAATTTCGACTTCCTCTTGTCACCTAGCCTCCCAGCACTGGTTAATAAGCAAGTGAAATGTTTCTTTTCTCTCTGTTCTTTGCCACATCCGTTCAATTTGTTCATGATGCCTTGAGTTTGAGTTTTGTACCTCATTTGCCTCCATGACACTCTCCACTTGTGTTGATGGGTTAATGCCCTCCAAGCTGCTCCAGCTAGTCTCCGCCCAAGAAGGTTAGTCCCCTACCTGGGAGATGCGGGCCATCTCATTTCTAGATCTCTCTCTCTGCCACTGAAATGTGGCCCAATGTTAAATAAAACCAAAACCATCAGCCTCACACCAGTCAGGCAGCCAACTGTTCCCCTCCAGTATTTTCTGCCTTCTCTTGGTCAATTATTGGTTAGGATATCTGGGAAGATCAGTTGGCCTTTCCTCTTCTTCTGCTTTGTTCCAGGATGTCTGAGGTCTTCTATAATCTGTGTAGTTCCATGTGATGCCACATCATTGGTTCCAATATGTATCATCATCATCAGTGATTTCTGGATTTCTCAATCCAGTCTAATCCTGAGGTTCCATCTCATTTCTTCACTCCAGGGAGACAGAATATTGTCCTACTGTCCTTGTGGCCTTTGCTGAATTCTCTGTCCGCTCTTCTTACTATGAAGCTGCTGCTGCTGATTGTTTGTATTCTGAGGATGGTTGAAGAATCTTTCTTGGATGCTGCTCATTTCAGACCACAAGGACACTCATCAGGTATGTCCCCTGTAGCTTTCAGTTCCATTCCTCCACAGCTTCACCCTCTGAAACGCTTCTCTGCCGCTCCTCTTGCCCTACTAAAGGGTGTGTATTTGCGGGGAGGGGGAGAAAGAGGGATGGTGACTGGGGACCACAACTTTTCGTAAAGGAGTTTCACGTCAGGGCGTTCTATGTCTCAGCTACATCAGACGAGTATAGAGATCGCAGGGCCAAGTCACTCGGGGCAATCCGAGACACATTTTGTCACATGCAGCCAGCTAAAACCCAGCTCCTTCTTCAAGCCCTACGTGCAATAGGAGTGTGGGGAGGGGGCAGAACAGGGGGCAGCATATTGCTGAAGAACGAAGCTCCGGGTGCAGGGTGGCGTGTCCCAGCTCCTTCCGAACCGTCCAACAGTTGCGGGGATGGGTCACTTGGGTGACACGATGCTTATTTTGTTACGGACGGTCAGTCAAAACTCAGCTCCTTATTGATTCACTCAACGAATTAGTCACTGCAATTTTGATCACATCCAAGCACATTCACGGGAGGAAATTTCTAAAAATTCTATCTTACACGGATGCATTTTAAAATGAAATTGGCCACGGCCGAGGAACTGGGAACCCAAGGAACCAACGGCAGCCTCAGGGCTGGTCTACACTTAAAAATTAGCTCAACCTCGCTATGTTGCTCAGGGCTGTGGAAACAGTGCAAGTCCTGAGCGCGGGCGTTAGGTTGACCTAACCCCCAGGGTAGGTGCAGCTCGATCAAGGTAAGAATTCTTCAGTTGACCTAGCTCCCGTCTCTGGGAGAGGCGGATGAGCTGCACCAACAGAGGTAAGAAGTGTCTACGCGTGGCTGCAGTGTAGACAAGCCCCCGGTGCCGGTGAGGGTGCCACACCCCCTCGTCAGGAGGGTCCGCAGGGGGCTCCCAGCCCACATGGGTCACACCTTGCCCCACCATGGCAGCTGGGCTGCCCTCTTCCCCTGCCCCCTGCGCCACCCCTTGCCCGCATTGTTGCCTTACGCCCCTCCCCAGGGCTTGCCCCATCACCCACCCCCTGAGCCTGGGCCCCACAAACACCCAGCCCCCGCCCCCTGGGGGGACTCCCTGCAGCTTGGGCTCCCCACTGACACCTCACCTGGCCAGGGCCCCACCCTAGCACCTGCCACCTGCCCCAGGCCCCAGGGAGGCCCTTTTTATCATGTGACCCCAAACCAATCAGCTTGGCTCCCCCCCCACCCAGTTAGTGAGATACAATGTATCTTCCCTCCCCCCACAGGGCTATTGTTCTCTCGGGGCTGCTCTTGCCCTTTAAGAGCCCTGATGACGTCATCAGACGAGGCGGGCCTCGCCTTCATGATTGGCTCCCGAGAGCGCTGACTCGGCCCAATCCGCCCTCGCCAGATGCCAGCCCCGTCCCAGCCCCACTCCGGCTTCGCTGCTTATGGGCCGTCCCAGAGGATTCGCCAATGAGAAGTCAGCCCCGCTGATTGGCACAGACTCGGCCCACTGGCAGCGCTCGCTGCGGCCGCGCGGACGGGCCCGAGCGCGGCGGCGCGGAGCAGGGCGGAAGCAGCGGTGAGGGCAGGCGGCTCGGGGAAGATGGCGGAGGCGCGGCGGGGCCGGGGGCTCCCGGAGCCGGGGCTGCTCCTGGTGCTGGCGCTGCTGGGGCCGGGGCGGCCGCTGCCCGGGGCCGCGGGGAGCCTGAACCTGCAGGAGCTCAACGAGCTGAAGTACGGGATCGAGATCGCCGCCGAGCCCGTGCTGGCCGGGCAGGTGCGTGCGGGGGGGGCGGCCCGGGGGGGGCAGGTGCGTGCGCGGGGGCGGCCCGGGGGGGGCAGGTGCCTGCGGCGGGGGGCGGACCGGGGGGGGGCGTCAACTGTGGGGGGGCCGCGCAGGTGCGTGCGCGGGGGCGGCCCGGGGGGAGCAGGTGCCTGCGGCGGGGGGGCGTCAACTGTGGGGGGGGCCGGGCGTGCGAGGGGGCGGGGGCGGACGGGGGGAGCGGCCCGGTGCGTGCGGGGGCGTGGGGGGGGCGGCCCGGGCGGGGCAGGTGCGTGCGGGGGGGGCGGACCGGGGGAGCGTCAGCTGTGGGGGGGGAGCGGGCAGGTGCGTGCAACGGGGGTGGACGGGGGGGACAGGTGCGTCCGGGGGGAGCGTCAGCTGCGGGCGGGGGGGGGGCGGCAGGTGCCTGCGGGGGGCACCTGCGGGGTCGGATGGGAGAAGTGGGGGGCGGGTAGGTGCGTGTTGGGGGGCCGGCAGGTACGTGCTGGGGGGCGCGGGTAGGTATCTGTAGGGGGAGGAGGGAAGAGGGGCCAGGGCAGGGCCGCTGGGACAGTTTGTACAGGGGGCGGGGGCTGAGAGTCATTGAACCAAACTGTAAACCCTGGGCATGGTGGAATCCACTTCAAGCCAAGGGGTGCGGCAGCCCCCTGAGATCCAGCACCTATGGGCCGGGGTTCCAGAGTGAGGGGTGAGAGCGTCTGGGCTGGGTCAGGCTGGAGGTGATGGGGCCCCACTGGATAGGTGGTTGGGGGACTAGTGAGGTTGGATGTGTGGGGGCTGAACAGGCATGGGTGGGGGGGCTGGGCCAGGGTGCAAGTTAGCTGGGGAATGTGTGGGGGCCAAAGTGGACCCAAGGAGTTGGGGGGCCAGGACCAGCGTTTATGTGGGGGTTGGGTCAGGGAATGAGCTGTTGGGGTCGAGGGAGAGCAGAGGGGGGAGACCTGGCGTAGGAGTTGGCCCTGAGCGGGGGGGAATGCTGGGAGTGTTAGGTAGGAGTAAGACTGGGGTTTGAGGGGGGCTGGGGTGGGGTAGGTGGGTGAAGGGGGGTTGAGGAGTTGTGGGCAGGTCAGGGGCATAAATGGGCAAGAGGAGGGGGGCGGGCTGGAGAGCAGGGGCCAAGGGCAGAGATGTCCCAGGGGAGTGGGAGGTGATGGGGCTGAGTTGGGGGAGCAGGGGTGTTAGGGGAGGTGGGTTGGGTGAGGGCCTGGTTAGCAAGCGATGTGAAGTGAAGGGGCCAGGCCCATGCAGAACTCCCCATCAGCTATCCCATCCCCCCCATCCTGGGGCCACATCAGACCTGGTGCGCCTAGAAAACAAGGCCCCTTTATTCTGTTCCCAACTATCCACCCCATCATGGCGCAGGCTGTGGCAGCCCCTCGCCCTTGCCCTGTGCAGACTCCGCAGCATCCTGCCATCCGACCCCCCCCCCCCCGCAGGCACCTGCCGCCCCCCCCGCCCGCAACTGACGCTCCCCCCGGACGCACCTGTCCCCCCTGTCCACCCCCGTTGCACGCACCTGCCCGCTCCCCCCCCACAGCTGACGCCCCCCCGGTCCGCCCCCCCCGCACGCACCTGCCCCTGGTGCCTGTGTTTACTTCTCTGGCAGAGGTCGAACGGCTGCACTTGGGACTTCCACCATCTGGTGCCTCCTCTTTGCTTGTGACAAAGGGGCGCGTGGGCGGGACCGGCAGACTTACGAGCTGTGGTTTAATGCTATCGATCTCCCCTGTGCTTTGAAATAGCTAATTCTGGCGCGGCCGCATGCACCTGGCTCTGCTTTCTGGCTCCCTTCCTCTCGGGATCAGCGACGACTCCGGAAGGGTTGGGGAGAAGGGCAAAGACAGATGGAAATACCCTAAAACCGCTGTCGCTTTCTGACAGCAAAAGGCCACCTGATTCTTCATGCACAGCGCTGGCCCAGAGGGAGACTTGGGATAAAAGTGTCTGTTTTTGGCTTGTGTTTGCATCCTGAAAGCTTCCTGCCAGCTACTAAAGAGCTGGAAAGGAATCTAATGGGTCACCCTGCACTTTATTTTGGGCACTTCATGCTTTGTAAATACTAGAGCCAGCTCGTCTGCACGTGGCTGCTTTGCTTTGGCGGAAACTCGAAGACGAGTCCTATGACTCCGGGCAAGTCGCGTAGGCCTCATCTAAACTCACGAGTTGGGTAGTGAACCGTTCAAATGATACAGGTATTGGTAACGTGTTGCACCCCGTCCTCCCCAGTGTGGACGCAATTTAAGGGCATAAGCTGTGCCAGTATGCATCTGCTGTAGGCGTCATATGGGTCAAACTGTTTTGGTAAAGAAGAAATCGCTGCCCGTAACCGAAGTAGTTATGCCAGAATAAAATCTGTTTGTAGGGCAGGGCCTGAATTGCTTTGTTCCCCAGTACTCCGGTTCTCTCGCCCTTTATCTTCGCAGGGTAGAGACTGTGGCTTGCCCTGTGTTGCACAACGGGGCTGCCATCTTGGCTGAGGTCTGTAGATGCTACTGGGCTACATATATATAATAAAGCCCACGCGTTTTGGTGCCTGAAGATTTATTTAGATTGGAGCGGTGCTCGCCAGAGGTGAACGCATATGGAGGTGGTGCAGTTCCTGCCCTGAAAAATGGGAGCAGAAATCAGACAAAGGCTGGGGAAAGGTGTGGGGGGAGGGGGTGTGTGTGGGATGGCTGATGTGGGTTGGTAATTCCATGGCAGGCTGTCTATTCCTAGATGCCTGTGTGACGAAGCAGGACTGTTCTTAATGTTTCCTCTGAATAGTGTGGGGGTGCCTCAGTTTCCCCTAAGCAGTTCTTAAGTATCTAGGGGGTGGGGTAAGGGTGTGTATGATCATTGCAGAGCCCTGGAGGGCAGGTGTGTGCAGGGGTCTGGACACAGAGAATGGCCGACACCCTGTTTCCTGGCAACTGATGGCCTGGCCCTTCCCCCCTGCAAGGTGAGTGCTAAAGGGTTGGAGAACAAAGGAATCCAGTGCCCTCCTGGCCTGGGAAAGGGACAAAGCCCAGAGGAGGAGGGGCTGGGGAGAGTTTCAGTTTGGGGGCTGGCTGGGACATGGAGTGAAGGGCAGAAGTGGTTGTCTGGCTCACTGACCCCAAAATGGACCCAGCTGAGGGGTCCAGTTCTCTGCACCTACAAGCTCTGTGTTAGACCATGTTCCTGTCGTTTAATAAACCTCTGTTTCACTGGCTGGCTGAGAGTCCCGTCTGACTGCGGAGTTGGGGGGCAGGATCCTCTGGCCCCCCCCGGACCCCGCCTGAGCGGACTCGCTGTGGGAAGCGCAGGGAGGGGCAGAGGATGCTGAATGCTCCGAGGTCAGACCCAGGAAGGTGGAGCCGGGTGAGCTGTGTGTCCTGCAGACAGGCTGCTCCCAGAGAGGAGACTCCCCAGAGTCCTGCCTGGCTTCGTGGGGAGCCGTTCCCAAGCATCGTCTGGGGACCCCGTGACAGCCTGCCTGTGGAGTCGTAGCACTTCCTCATTACTCTTGTTTACCTCGAGCCCTTCCCATGGCTAGATTTGGGTGTCTCTCTCTGAGGCTGAGCTGTCTCTCCTACGCTTCCGCAGTTGCATGGAAACCAAAACTTCTCTTTATTAAAAGCAGAAGCGGATCTTTGGGCTGCCAGGTGCCCTGGTGTCTAGGTTCCTAGTGCACCGCCATGCGGACTGATGCATTGGCTGAGGGGTTGGCACTGGAGTCCTCCGCCGAGCTTTCCCACTTGTGTGCAGGGTGCTGTGCTCTGCTGATCCCTGCCCCAGAGGGGGCTGCAACTCGGTGGGGGGGGGGGGGGGAGTTTTGAAGCACTTCAGAATCCTGCCGGCGGCTGCCCGAGTTAGCCAGCCCAGCAAGGTGGGAGGAGGGTTTCCAGGTCCAGATCCCTTACTTTGGGAGCTGACCCCTGAGCAAAGGGGGCCTCAGCAAGGCTTGTGGGGGTGTCCTAAGGTCAGGACCTTTGGTGTTAGAGGGACTGTTGCTCTCAAATGACCCCCAGTGCCCTCTGGCTGATACCCAAGGGGAGTCGGTTTCCTCTAGGTGCCACGCAGCCTGTTTGGGTTCGTTACCTTTTACCCTCATGAAGGTAGCCTGCTCCTTGGGCATGGGACTGCGTGAAGCCAGGACTTTGTGGAGCTCCTCCCCTGATGCCCGATTCTCAAAAAACCCCTCTTTCATTTCAAAGGCCTTGTTTCCTGGCCAGCTCTGCTGCCAGTGGCCCCAAAGAGCCGGAGCTCCGGGTCGGGAAGGGTTCAAATAGGTGGCTGGCGCAGGGAAGAGGGCAAAGTCTGAACAACCCCAAAAGCCTCCCCCGCTAAAACTGCCCCAGAGTCTCAAGAAAACCCCTGCTCCTGAGATGGCCAAGCCTGAGGCTAACGGAGACGCCTCTCTTTGTATTTAAGGATCTCCCAGGCTGGGCCTTGACTTCCCACCTCCTGTGCCCAGGAGCTCCCTACAGGGGTGGTGGGGGGAGCTGCATTTACATGGCAAAGCTGCCCAGGAAACTTGAAACAGGCGCTAAATGAACCTCCTGGCGTCAGCTGCTCCTGGGGCGTGATGCTTCTGCCAACACCATCCATTGCACGTTTGCACTTTAACCTCTGCTGTTTGTACACCCCCTCTCGCGCCCACTGGACTCCTTCCTGCTCTGATCAAGGTCAGCGCAGAGAGGGACAGCCCCTTTGCAGGGGGGCAGTGGGCAAGTTACAAATCCACCCGTGAGATCCGCCACAGCCTAAAACCCGCAGCATCAGACAGACCTGGTGTGTCCTGCGGGGATAGCCAGGTGAGAGCCACCGCTACAAGCGGGGCATTTTCTGAATGGGCAAGCTGGCGCCGGTGGTCCCATGCTTCCCCTGGCACTGACGAGCAGAGGTTGGCTGAATTGGAATGGGGCTGGGTTTCAAAGTAAGCTGGGCCCCATTGTGATGGGTCTGTACATATGCCACGTGAAGAGGGTCCTGTCAGAAATAATACCTACCTCTTACCTAGCACCGTGCAGTGGCTGACCTCAAAATGGCTTATAAAGGTCAGTGTTGCTAACCCGCTTTCACAGATGGGGAAACTGAGGCACAGAGTGGGGAAGTGACATGCCCAAGGTCACCCAGCAGGTCGCTGGCAGAGCTTGGACTAGAACCTGGGTCTTTTGAGTCCAAATTCAGTGCTCTACCCATTAGGCAACACTGACTCTCAGAATTGACATTCTCAGCACTGGCTTAACAAAAGCTGCTTTGTCAAAGCAGGGTAGCGAAATTGGTACCACCTCCCTCATGGCCTCTCTGCTTTAGATTTCAGGGCTGCTTGTTCCAGTTTAGCTTGAGGCCGTTAGGGATGGGTTGCAGCCTCCCCACTGGGGATTGCACCCGTTTAAATGGGTTCAGGGGGACAGCTGCAGCTAAGCAGAGCCACTTTCTCCTGCAGCCAGAGCCGCCGCGGTGAATGGTGAAGAGCCAGCTTTTGGGCTGGGTTCAGGGAGGATTTTGGGTTCCGAAGAGTCTTTCCTTTCAGTTTGGCCGAGGGGCGAGCAGCAGACTTGGGTTCTATTCCCAGTCCTGCCACTGACCTGGACACCTTTGTTATGTCACCCCTTTGCGCCTTAATTCCTCCGCCTGCAAAATGGGGGGCGTGTGCCTCACGCTGCCCGAGGCTTAATGAAATCCTGGTATGGCAGGAACAAGAGAAAGGCAGAGCATCTAGCTACCAGGGTGGCACCTTTTTGCTCCATGGGACCTCCACTAAGACTAGCAGCCCTGGATCGCCCGCTGCCGGCATCCCGTTCTGGGTTGTAGCACTCGGTGTCCTGGCCAGCAGCGCCTGCGTGGAGAGCCGCCGTTCGCGCGGGCCCTGTTCTCCTGTGCTGATTTCGCCGCCTGCGCTTTCCTAGAGCAAGTCAGAGGACGTGGTGATCGTTTCGTCCAAGTACAAGCAGACGTACGAGTGCCGTCTGCCCTCCGCCGCCGTGAGGATCCACCAGGACGCTGCGGAGCCGCCGCAGAGTTACCACGGGCTGGGCATCTCGGATCTGCTGAGGCCGATGGAGGCTGCTCCCTGCCTTGTAAAGGTGAGCCTGCCACCGCGCGCTGTGGGCCGGGAGCAGAACTGAGGAATGCAGGGGGCCAAGGGGTTGTGGTGCCCACAGCCGGGTCTGTGGCTCACTGGCCACCCTTTCCCGGCCCCCCTCCATTGCAGTTCTCAGAAACGGCGGCTGTTAATTAGGCTGAGGGAATTGCGTCCATCTTCTTGGCCCCCTGTCCTGAGGGGGCTGATGTTCAGGGGTTCCTCCGGGGGGCTGTCTCCTCGCTGAGCTGTCAGTCCAGAGCACCTGATCCCAGCAAGCCAGTAACATGCAGGGTGTGTGTCGTGTCCCCCCCCCCCCCCACCGGCCCAGCAACAGCCAGCGTCAGCTGTCCCCGGGGGCCTGGCTGTTGGTGTGAGAGCTTCCCTCAGAATGCAAACAGTCGGGAGATCCCGGGCGGAGCAAGGAAAGGCCCAAGGGTTTGCATCTCCGGGCTGTAGCTTTAAATGCTCGCCGGACAGAGCCACCGCTGGCTTTGCTGTCCCTCGAGGGCGCGGCCTGCAACGAGGCCTGGACGGGAGGATGGGTTTGCTCCAACCAGTGCTGGGGTGATCTCTGGGCTCCACAGGATCTTGGCTGGGGACATGGCCGATGGCAGGTTTTGGGGTACATGTGAAGGTTTTGGGGTGCGGGGGCTTCGTTGAACTTAACCCTGTTGCCGCTGCCTTGTTCCCAGACCAAGGACTGGTGGACGTATGAGTTCTGCTATGGGAAACACATCCAGCAATACCACGTCGAAGGTAACCCTCCCCTTGCCTCATCCCCTGGCTGTTTGCGGGGCCCCAGCGGGAGGGGGGGGTGTGGGTGGCGGGTGGATTTATACAGGCACCCTCACCCGAGAACGCGTCCAGCCGCTCATCTCTGAGGGTGCCTGGCCTGGGCTCGCTCAGTGAGTTTGGCTGGGAGATGGGAAAGCTGCCCAATTTCAACGCTCGGGATATGAAAGAACCTGGTGTGCCCGCCTCAGCTGTGCCCGGGTAGATGGCAGGAGATAAAGGGCACAGGGGCCGTGGCTTCTCTGCTGTGATCACTTTCAATAGATCCCCTCCCACCCCCATGGCATCCGGTATCCAATCCCCCTCTGGGGCTCCCTGTCACTGGTGTGGGCTCACTGCACCTCTGACCCCTCTGCCAGCTGCACAAGGGGTGGCCCCCTTAGGTCTCCTCTGGGTGGAAAGTGACACACCCAGTGCAGCTGCCGAGCATCTCTGTGCGGGGCGCTTGGGTGCAGTGTGGGCAGAGACGCTCAGTGTTTGATCTCGGTGAGGTGCCCTTAGCAAAAGGGGTTTTACCCCCAGAGACTGGGCCAGCATCCAGCCCTTCCCCTGAACCTGATCTGGGACGGGATACCGTGTCAGGGCGAGGAATTAACAGGACTCCTGATACCATGTCTCCGGTGGGTTTGTCCTCACACTGAGGCAGGCAATGCTGTTGTCCCCACGGTCCCGCAGGAAGTCTGTGGCAGAGCAGCGTCCCGAGTCCCAGGCGAGTGCTGGAGCCACTGGCCAGCCTTCTGGGGTGTGTGTGTGTGTGTGTGTGTCTCCCGCCGAGGCCCCCCAGGGGTTTAGCACGCTCTAACGTGGGTCACTCTGTGTCGCTGTTTGTTTCCCAGAGTCTGAAATTAAAGGAGACATCCTCTACCTCGGGTATTATCAGTCGGCGTTCGACTGGGACAACGAGACGGCAAAGGTTGGTGCTTCTTGGACTCCTGTGCTGTGCTGAAGTGTGACCCCCCTGGTGCTCTAGGTTTGGGAGAAGGGAGATGGGCTTGCCTGGGGGTTTGTCTAGTGCTGGCTTAGCAAACAGGGCATGCAATTCCGCCATAAGTCCCTGCAAGCTCTACCCTCCTGACAGTGGGCCCTGATGGGCAGAGCAGGAGACTGACTCGCTATGTGACCTGGGAAGTAACTTTAGCTGCCTCGGTTTCCCTGTCTGTAAAATGGGACAACTATCTCCCAGCGGAATATCTCCCAACTATCTCCGAGCGGCTTGGTGTGTGGGGTGCTTTGAGATCCCCGGAGACAGCCCCCAGTCCAGCTCCGTGTGGAGTGTGGACTGTGAAGTTGGGAGCTTTAATGCTCTCGTCCAAAATTCACCTTCCTAGGCTTCGAAACAGCACAGGCTCAAACGGTACCACAGCCAGATGTACGGCAACGGTTCCAAGTGTGACCTGAGCGGGCAGCCCAGGGAAGCTGAAGTCAGGGTAAGTGGCGTGTGGGGGGTGTCAATTCTCTGGAGTTGGGGTGAGCCGGGGAGACTCCCTGAAGACAGAGGGGGCAGGGCAGCCTCTCTCTGTGGCCTGGGTTCTCCGCTGTTTAAAACGCCAGCAGTGACTGGGGGGGGGGTGGGGAAGGGGCGGAGGCGGACAAGCCCCTCGGGCGTGGCAGGATGACCGGCAGGCCTCGCGGGACTCTCCGGGAGCCCCAGGTCACCTTAACCCTGTTTCTCCCCCCCCCCTCCCGGCGGCAGTTCCTGTGTGAAGAGGGCTCTGGGGATTACATCGCCCGGGTGGACGAGCCGCAGTCCTGTTCCTATGTCCTGACCATTCACACCACCCGCATCTGCCACCACCCCTTCCTGCGACCGCCCTCCACGGCCACCCCCCAGGCCATCCGCTGCCACCCAGCCCTGAGCCCGGCTCAGTATGTGGACTATGTCCAAGCCCAAGTGTGTGAGTATCTGGGGGGGCGGGGGGACAGGGTCTAAATCTGAGCCCCTCCCAGGGCCTGCAACAGCAGCTCATGTCAGGGCTCGTCCCAGCCCAGCTGATCCCAACCGTCTGTAGGGCGGGTTCTCGGGCTGCCCCACCCCCGCCTCTTCCCCCGGGGTGGGCCCCCTCCTCCCCCCCTCAGGCTTCCCCCTTTCCGCCCCACCCCTGGGTGGGTGGGTTCTCGGGCTGCTCCGCCCCCTCCTCCCCACCCTGGTGTTGGCCCCCCTCCTCCTTCCCTCAGGCTTCCCCCTTTCTGCCCCACCCCTGGGGTAGGCGGGTTCTCGGGCTGCTCCTCCCCCCAGGGTTGGGCGGGTTCTCGGTCTGCCCCGCCCCCTCCTTCCCCAGGGTGGGCAGGGCCTCTGTGGTGATTCAAATCCCATCTATGCTGGCCAATGCAGTCGACACCAAGCGCAAGGTGGAAGAGCTCTCCGAGGAGCTGAAGACCCTGGACACAAGGCTGTGGAACGAGCGTGATCCCAACCCTGCCACCCAGCACCCGGAAGGTGTGGAGCCAGCCCACCCCCTCCACGAGGAGCAGGAAGCGGACGGTATGGGAGCTTCTTCGCACTGATCTCTGGGTGCTCGTGATCCCTGTGGACAGCCCTGTCCGCTGCCCAGGCTCGGGGCGCTCTGCTGAGATCTCCTGGTGCGCCTGGCAGGGGGCCCCGCCGGCTTCCCGCGAAAGGGCACAGGCGTCCCCTCACACCCCTGTGGGGGCGCGCGAGGATCTGGTGGTGCCCCAGCATTAGCGCTGCCGGGGCGCGCTGGGCGTGGGTGGGGCCACGTGGCTCAAGGGCCTTCCCCTCCGCATTCAGGAGCCACCGCGCTGAGTGCTGACGAGGTGCCGTGGGCACTGTGGGAGAGCGAAACAGCTGGGCGGGCCGGGGCGAGATCCTGCTCCCATCAAGGGTGGCTGCAGGGAGATGGAGGGCTCCCGGCTGCCTAGGCTGGTGAGACTGGGAACGTGGGAAGCTCACGCAAGGGCCTGAGGCTGCCCCGGCGCCCAGAGCACTTCTGCAGCCTCCCCAGGACTTTAGCTGCGTGGGTCGGCTCCGTGGTGACGTTTTCTCCTTGGTTTGTGCCAGCCGCTCCCAGGGAAACCCCCAGAGCTGGCCCAGGGGAAGACACCGACTTCGGGGATAGCACACTCAGGGCAGGCGACCTGCCGGACCACACCAAGGTAACAGCTCTGTCCTGTGCCCCCCATACGCATTCTGGCTTTGCTGGCTCGCTGTGGTCTGAGCCAGGAAGCTGGCGCAGCCATGCCGGGCACCGTTCCCGCTGCTCTCATCCTGGGGTGGGGCCTGTGGCAGCTGTGTCAAGGCTCCGCGCTTCGTGGGGTGCGGACAGCGGCTCCCCCTCACTTCGCTGACGCAGAGCCCCCGCCAACTCCTCTAGTGATCCTGGGTCTGCCACCACGTGGTGCTGCTGAGCAGCACGTCGATTGTCTTCCCTTCTGCCCCAGCCAGGCGCTCCCCAGCAGAGCCCCCTGGGGTCCCACGGGAGCTGCTGCTGAGCCCCGCTGCTGGGGAGCAGTTTGCCCTGTTGCCTGGCCTGGGTAGGACAAGGCTAAACAGCAGTGGCTTTGCGGTTGGCAAATCAGGAGTGCGGCTCCCCGGTGCTGTAGCTGGTACAGTCATGGCTGAGTAATTTTCCCGCCCCCCCCGTCCCTGGGGGAGCTGTGTCTGGAGTCCCCCGTGTCGCTCTAAACTCCTGGTCTCGTCCCCGCTGCAGGAGGACGAGTACGCTGTGAAGCCGGCAGATGATCACCAGGCTGGTGAGTGTCTAATAGAGTCCTGGGGCAAAGCTCTCTGGGCCATAACTCCACAGGGGAGGTTGTGGGGAATCCTGGGGGGGGATATGTCGGCTACAATCACACCCTGTGGTCTCAGTGTAGACGTGCCCTTATGCTTTTGACCCCAGAAGGGGATGGGGGGGTGAAACCCGAGCATAAACCCCAGGGAACCTGCCTGGCACAGCTTCAGTGTCGGGGTGTAAATTTGGCAATAACAAGCCAAAGAACATCTACTGAGTGTGACTGCGATTTGCAATCCTGATCTCGGATGTGGTGCTCAAACCATTGGCCACGAAGCCAGCAGTCCGTTTTAGGGCCCTGATAAAACACAGGTGGACATCTCTTCCTGCTCTGCCAGGAGGCTGGAGCTGGTGCGTCAGCTCCCTGAGTGATCGGATGAACCTTCGCTGGCAGAGTGCCTGGCGCTCTGGGACGTTGGGGGTTAAAATCTGTGCCCCCGTGGGAATCCCAAGGGTGCTCTGTCTGGTTCTCCTTCAGAACTGTCTCGGCAAGGGGCTGGATCTGCATGCGCCGGGAGGGGACTGGCTCTTTCCAGCACAGAGCCTCAGATGTTCCTGTTTCTCTGGCCTCTTTCAGATTTCCAGCAAAAAATCCACTTCAAAGTGATCCGGAGCCCAGGGGATCTAGTCCAGTTTATCGAGGCACTGAAGGAAAGCACCAAGAAGGTACGTGGGGGCCTGGTGTGGTGTTCTCCATCGGTGCTCTTAGCCCACGGCACTCACCCTTCATGGGCAGGTGATCTGTTGACCCTAGGTAATGAGCGTTAACAACTGGATACCTGGCTCGGGGGTAGGCCTGATCTAGCGCTGACTTTGACTCCCTCTGTTAATATGAGCTGGTCCTGGCCTTGCTCTGTGCCTCAGTTTCCCCCTCTGGGATGCTAACCCTCCCTGACTACACAGGCCAGCTCTGAGAGAGATTCATGTTCATTCCCTTTGGGGCACCTGACGTTGGCCGCTGTCGGAAGACAGGATACAGGGCTAGCGGGACCTTTGGTCCGACCCCATGTGGCCGTTCTAACACGTTGAGTGTGGGGAGTGTCTTGATGCCTGTTTCCCCCCAGGGGAAAGAGAAGGCAAGCGAGTTGGAGAAGAGCCAGGAGGCCCTGAGGACCGAGGAGGCTCCGGCAGCTGGGAGCGAGCGCCCGGAGGAGGACGATGACGAGGAGGACGACGACCTGCTGGGGAAGTTTGAGGAGGAGCTGGAGGACATCCTGCTGCCCAGCTCGGAGCAGGCCAAGCTGAAGGAGGAGGTGAAAATGGAAATGGAGAAGCAGTTCGACAACATCATTGACGAGGTGAGACTGAGGGAGTGGCCCCTGCCTCCCCACTCCCCCCTCATCCCGTGTCTGACACTGGGGTGTCCCCTCTTTTCAGCCCTGTCTCCTCTCTGCCCTCCCTGGGGTGCAGCTGGATCCCGACCTCTGGGCACAGACCCTTGCTGCTGTCGGGAAGGCTGCTGGGGCATGGGCAGCGCCCCTTCCTCGCAGCGCGGGGGCCGTGCAGGGAGACCCATGTGCCGGCTGCCCATCCTAAGGGTATCGGGAAGCGTTCATGCCCCACGGGCACGTGGATATTTCTGCCAGTGCCAGGCTCCCAGTGGCCTCTCCCACCTTTTTCCTTTGGCACCGTTACTTGTAGCCATGACACTGGGGAGGTCACTGGGGAGTGATCCCCAAACCTCTGGCTTTAACGGCATGGGCAAAGGGATCAGGTTTGGAGGCAGTATTTCCTCTAGCCACTAGGGGGTGACGGAGCCACACCGGTATGGTACTCCCTAGCCACTGTGCCCCAGGACGGAGGGCAAGGTGCCCTCGCTGTTGGGGGAAGGCCGTGAGGGCTTGGGCTGGCATCAGCGGGGTCAGATCGCTGCTCTGTGGCTCAACCTGGCCTGTGGGAGATAACGGCTTCCGCTCCCAGGTGGAGGATGAGCTGGAGACAGAGGGCCTGAAGGGCGAGTTTGATCGGAACCACGCTTCCAAGTCACTGGCCTCCACCCTCAACAAGCTGATGGACAAGCTGGATGGCGGCAAAGCGCCCGAGAAAGGGGAGGAGGAGGAGGAAGAGGAGGGCGAGGGAGACTCAGCCAGGAGCAGCGCGAACCACTTGGATAAGCAAGCAGCTGGTATGCTCCGAGGTGTGCGTGTGGTTCTTTGATTCCCCGGGCTGCTTATATCCACCCCTGGGCTGCTCTGCCCGTGTCATCTTCAAGGAGGTGCGATGGCATGCACTTAAAGGTGTAGTGTCTGGAAATCTGGCCCAGGCCCGGCCCCATCTGAGGAACTCTTCGCATCAGGGCTGCTCAGAGCTCCCTTCTCCCCCCTCCCCGCCCCCACAGCTTCTGGAGCTGAGCTTGGGGATCACTCCCCCTGTGCAGCAGGACATTGCCCCGGTAGATCTCCCAGGGGAGAGTTGGGGATGGTGTCCGGGTTGGGGCAGCAGTGGGCCTGAACCCTGTACTACGCTCAGAGCTGAGCAGAGGGGTTGGAATTGCTGTTTCTCTCACACCGGAACACAGTGCCCGTGGGCAGGGGGACCACCGGTCTGGGGAAGTGCTTTCTGATGGCCACTTGGGGCTGCGTAACCCCAGCGGGAATCCCGGAGGGGGATGCCTAAACGGGGTGGGAACCCCAGGCGGCTTGGCAAAGTGGGGCCGTAACTGTCAGCATTTGCCCTCAGCGGCCTGGCCTCTGCACTTACACACCTGTGAACGGTGACCGCTTCGGCCATAGCTCCCGAAGCGCACAGAGCCGCCTGCCCCCCGCGGTGCCAGCCCTGGGCACTGAAGTCCCTCTCTGTAACCTTCTGTCTCAGAGGCCGACTCGGACGGGCATGTGAAGGTCAGGGTCACGAGGATAAAGCCAGGCAGCCCCCTGCAGAAGGAGCTGAGGGTGAGAGAGATGGGCAGTGAGAACCCGCAGCTGCGACACATTGAGAATGTGGTTAAGGACCTGCTGGAGAGAGAGGGCCTGAAAGCGGAAGGTAATGCTGGCCAGAGGGGAGGGTACTGCTGTGCCAGGGGGCTGGGGATCGGAGCTCCCGAGGGCAGGGACCAGGCCCTGCCGGTGGAGGGGAAGGGGCTCCCATAAGCCATTCACTAGTGATCGCTTTCTGTTGTCTCAGGAGCCACGTCCAGAGGGGGCTGAGCTGGTGCAGGGCTGGACCTGATGAGAAGGGAACTGGGGCCCCTAGAAGGGCAGGAGCAGTGGGACTGGGGTTACTGGGGGAACCTGAATAAACCCAGGGGTGTAAGGGGCTCTGCTGGTAATTGTAGGGCCATCAAGAGGTCATTTAGAGTCCAGCCCCTGGCACTGAGACAGGACCAAATAAACCCGTGACTATCCCACCCAGGGCTTTTTCCAACCTGGTCTTAAAACCCTCCAAGGATGGGATTCCTTGGGAGCCTGTCCCAGAGTCGATCTCCCCTTTGAGTTTTACATCTGACCTCAATCTCCCTTGGTGCAGATCAGACCTGTTGCTTCTTGTCCTACCTTCCGTGGATTTGGAGAAGGATCGATGGGTCCTCTCGATAAGTCCCCAGATACACGAGGGGCTGTCATCCAGTCCTCTCTCGGCTCTTTATAATTTAAGATTAAATGTGCCCAGTTTTTAGCCTGTCCTCACAGGTCAGGTTTTCTAAACCTGTTCGTTTTTGTTGCTCTTCTCTCGACTCTCTCCAATTTGTGCCCCCTAAAGTGTGACACCCCGAACTGTATGCAGTACTCCAGCTCGTAGAGCCGGACAACCCCCCCGGTGCATTGCATCTGATGCGTCTGTTAATGCACCCCAGAATTTTAACCCTTTTTACAGCTGCGTCACGCTGGTGACTCAAGCTGCGCTTGTGATCCGCTCTAACCCCCAGATCCTTTTCAGCCTAGCCACTTAATCCCCATTTTGTAGCTGTGCGTTCCATCCCCCCCCCGCCCGCACTTCCCGTGTGAAGTTCTTTGCACTTATCCGTGCTGAGTTTCAGCTTGTTGGATTCAGAGCAGTCCTTCTTCAATTTGACGGCAGCGTTTTGTATTCGAATCCTTCCCTCCCAAGTGCGAGCGACCCCTCCCAGCGTGGTGACGTCTGCGCATTTTATAAGCATGCTCTCCAGCCAAGTCATTCATGAAAATATTGAATGGGACTGACCCCACAGGACCCCACTAGATCTGCCCGCTCAGTTAGTGAACCATTGAGAACTGCTCTTTGTGTACAGTCTTTCTACTTTCTAGTAATTTCATGTAGACCCGATTTTCCTAGTTTGCTTATGAGACTGTCTTCTGGGACTGTCAGAACGGCCAGACTGGGTCAGAACAAAGGTCCATCTAGCCCGGTAGCCTGTCTTCTGACAGGTTTCAGAGCGGTAGCCCAGATTACTCTGTATCAGGAAAAAAACCAAGGAGTCCTTGTGGCACCTTAGAGACTAACAAATGTATTTGGGCATTAGCTTTTCTGGGCTAAAATCCAGTTCATCAGATGCATGGAGTGAAAAATACAGTAAGCAGGTATAAATATACAGCACGTGAAAAGATGGGAGTTGCCTTACCAAGTTGGGGGTGGGGGGGGCAGTGTTAACGATGCACCCTAATTGAATTGGTGTCGTTAGCATTGACCAGTTTTCTGACCGGCGCCACCTGGGTCTGCCCTTTGCCAAGGCCTCGGCAGCTCTCCCTGCGCTGGCGACCCGCTAAGGGCCCGTCTGTCCTACGGGGGGCTGCAGCAGCACCACTAAGGGGGTTTCCCGTCGCTAGAGAAATTTCCCCTCCTCGCACGGCAGCAGCTGGGTGGACAGAAGCATTCTCCCATCGGCCCCGCCGTGTCTCCACTGGGGGCTAGGCTGGCATAGCTGCGGCGCTCAGGGGTGTGAAGTTTTCACACCACTGAGCGCTGGAGCTGTTGATTCAAACTTTGAGCCTAGACCAGGGCTAACGCTTATGGCGCTGATCAACAGGTAAAATCGAGATCAAAATCGTGACGACGGGGGGCTTTGGGGATGAGGACGATACCCACTGGCTGTCGGATGAGGACACCAAGAACCTCAAAGACATTTTCTTCAATATCCTGGTGAAAGCAAGTCTCATGCTACAGGGGGCGGGGCCTTTGTGGCTTGTGGGCGGGGCCTTTGCCTCTTGCATCCAAGCGTTCTGCAGCCACTAATGGATTAATCCCCGTGCAAGGCAGGTCCCATGGGGAAAACTGAGTCACAGAAGGGAAGTGACTTTTCCTTGGGCCATCCAGTGAGTGGGCGGCAGAGCTAGGGATGGAAGCCAGGAGTCCTGACGTTGCTGCTCGTTCACCTACACAGCCTCCTTGCTTCACAACAGCTAGATGCCCCAGAGGTGCAGCCACCTCTGGGGAGGAGGGCATGAGCCAGCTACACGGCTGTATCAGGGGAAGTGAGTGGGAGCTAGGGCCCGAGCAGAGCTGGACAGAGCAAATGTTTTCATGACTAGAAAGTAAAATGAGACATTTTCAGTATTACAGAATCATAGAAACTTAGGGGTAGAAGGGACCTTGAGAGGTCCGCTAGTCCAGCCCCGCACACTGAGGCAGGATCAAGTAGACCTAGACCACACAGAGCAGGCAGGTCCCCTCTGCCCCCAAAGTCTCGACCCCCAGACACTGGCCAATCTACTCTGGGGGTCTCCCTGCTCCAGGTTCCAGCTGGTGCCATCAGGGAGCCTGACCCCAGATACTCCTGTCCCCCAGCAGCCAGTGATCCCAGCTTTACCCTCCCTGCTGGTGATCTCGCCAGCATCGGTGGCTCTCTTCCTGGAGCCCAGCCTTACGGGGCAGTGCCCTCCTCCCCTGGGCTAGGGCGGGAGGTGACGGGGGGCCTGGAGCAGAGCTCCCCGCTGCTGGTGGGAGGGTCGATCTCCACCCAGTGCCTCCATGGGCCTCTGCTCTTTGCCTCTCCAGATCCAGGGCACGGAAGAAGCTCACAAGGAGCGGAGGCGGCAGCAGGAGCTGGAGGACAACTACCGCTTTGTGTGGGGGCAGCGGCCGGAGGAGGCACCGGCAGCCGGCGGCTCCGACTCGGAGGAGCTGGATTTCTGAGCGGCCGCCAGACGATTGCCTGCAGCACCCCCTCCCCCCGCCCCCCGAATGTCCCATTGGCTTGACTGGTCAGGGGACCAGACAGCAAGGGTGAAAAATAGGGACGGGGGTTGGCAGGGTAAGAGAGGCCTACGTAAGACAGCCCCGAATATTGGGATTGTCCCTTTAAAATAGGGACATCTGGTCACCCTATCGACTAGTAACCAAGGCACCACGGCTCCTCTCCGGAGGATGCCCAGCGGGGCCTGGCCCCCGTCAGCACTCAGGGGTGGGGGGCACTGATCCCTCCTGTCCCGACAGGCCGGTGGGGGGGGCTCTGTCTGGGGTGGCTCCTGCTAGGAGGATGGAGAGGGACTGACTGATTTCCATGGTAACGGCCGGCAGGAGCATCCTCTTTGATCCCTTCAAGAAAGGGTGGGCGTGGGCTGCATCTGCACCCATGTGAAGCGTCTAGCACATGCTGGCGGGGTCCATTTACCACCCCATCGCCCCATGAGAATAATGGTGAGTCCCCACCTGTGGGCACTCTGCCGGCCGTCCACTCCCTCAGCAGCAGGGCCCCAAACTGCAGGGGCTCTGGGGCCTGCACATTTCATAGAGCTGGACTCCCGGGGGAGCTGGGCCCGGCGGAGAGGCCAGGTGGCAGGGGCAGGCTGCTGGGTGCTGCGGGCAGGCTGGGCTGGGCGGGCAGGGGGTCTCCCCCACGTGTCCGCGGTGCCTGGGCAAAGGGAGGGTGGAGCTGGAGCCCCTGGCTTTTCGAGGGCCCTGCACATGGAGAAATACCTGCAGCTGCTGGCAGGTTTTGGCCTGGAGCTGGGGGCGGGGCCTGGTTAGCTCCTCCCACTCCACTGCTAAACCTGGCAGGAGTTGTGATGCAGCTGGGCAGCATGGCCTGCCACCTCCCCAGGGCCAGGGGTGGTGGCTCAGTTCGTTTGCATCAGTCGTTCACCAGCATGCTCTCCTTGCCCTGCTGGGCTCAGGGCACAGCTGGGGCCATCATTGCCAGGAGCCCATGTTGTTTCCTGGAACTCCCCGGCTGGGTCGTTCGGGGGGACGTGAGCCCCCCAGCGTGGCCGTGCGCAGGAGCCAGGGGAGCAGAGGGTTAACGAAACCTCACTCTGGTTCTCTGTCTGCCCATCCACCCTCTCTCCTAACGAGACAATTCACTTTACTTCCCTCCGCTTGTGGGGTAAAGGTCTCCCCAGCACCTGCCCCCTCTTGGACGGGGTGGGGGGACCCTACTTCCCCAGGGAAAGGGGGGAAAACCATCCATGATCCAATTTGTATCAATAAACCAGGCTGGACTAGTCCGCTTCCTGTGTCTAATTTACTGCGGTGGGGCCGCGAGCTGCCCCCCGGAGCAGCTTGTGTTCCTGCCGCGCTGTCAGGCCTCGCGCCATCTGGAAACAAGCATTTCCCGCTGCATCGTGTGGGCCCCTTGCGAGCAACCCTGGGTTGGTCCCCACCCCTTTGGACCTTACCAGGGCTCAGTTACACCAGGAGGCCCCCAAGCCCCCACTTGCAGCTCATTCATCTAAGGCTGGCTGGGATGCAGCCCCGTTTCATGGCTGAAATTCCCACAGGCCGGCTCAGAAAACGGGACGCCCTCATGTTCCTCGCTGACACCCCCTTGCTCCCTAACTGGTCTGGTCTGGTCTGGGGTCTGTGCCCTGGCGTTTCCCTTCGCACGGGCACCAGGGGCTGCAGCTACCAGTGACCTGAGGGCTCCAGGCGAAGAAGTCACCAAGCCAGGTGTGCACGCAATGCTGTGGTCTGGCAGCAGGGGGCAGCACCTGTCTGAGTTGGGGCTGCGTGACCTTTACAGGGCGATGGGGGGTGGGGGGGGGATCATTTGCAAAGCCAGGTGTCTGCTCCAGGGAGGTGTTGCTGGGGCTTGGGGGGAGCTAGGCCAGAACCCACCTACCCCACAGAGGGCAATGATGGGGCGGGGAGGGAGCGAGCAAATCATCCTTCCCCTCCCCTGCCAGTCTCAGCCCTGCTGCTTTGCAAGCAGGGGGTGGTGCGGGGTGGCACCTACCCTCCTGCCCTAGCTCACGGGATGCCACGCGGGGTAGGACCCAGCCACTTCTCCAACCTCCCTGCTTGCAAGCGCTGCCCTCTGTGGCGGATCTGCCTGCTGCCTTGACCACTCGGATGTGGAGGTCAAAGGCAGCTGATGGCACCCGTGCAGCCCCCCCATCCTACCGCCTCCCCCCACCGCTCCCTCGGATGGAGCTGGAAGCAGGACCCCTCGCTCTCTGTCTCACTTTGTGCCCCTGGTGCTGGCCAGCTGTTGCCCTTCTCCCAGGCACGTGCCCCAGTGGGATGGGTAGGAAGGCCAGTCGTGTCACCTTTTCTCCAGCCCGAATGCCTCACCCAGCACTTACCAGCAGCCAGGCTGACGCAGGCGGGGATGGGTAACGGGCCAGCCCATGTTTGAAGAGCAGGAAAACAATGTCCCAGCTGATGAGAAAGTTCCAGGCCTGGGCAGGTCCCACGCTCGCCCTGAACTGAACTGTTCCCTGAAAATCCTTTCCCTGTTCGCTCTGCACACTTGTTTAGCTAGCAGGCAGGGCCCCTCCAAGGCACCTCCTGTGCGCAGAGGCCTGGCCACCTGTTCGGTGAATGATTAACCTCCCTCGGGTTGGGAGGGGATGGGCAGTGGGGGTGTGAGGGCCTCACTCCTCAATGTGGGAGCGGGATGCGGAGAGGCTGGCATGGGTCCTCTGCACCCAACATGCTGCCAGACAAAGCTTTGCTCCTCTGGGGTTTGGGCATAAATGGTGCCAGCTGTGGAGCGCGTCAGCCGGTGCTCATGGCCGGGCGGGGCAGCCTCGTCCCAACACCTGCAAAATCGACCTCGGTCCCTGCACGCCATCCCCCCTCCCCCCCCAGCGCCTCTCTGAACCTCTCTTCCCTTGGCACCTCTGCTCAGCCCAGTGCTCCAGTCAGCACCCGTCATGTGGCTGGCTGCATGTGCCCCCTGCAGGGGGCAATGCCAGTGGGCACCAGCTCCTGGGAAGAGGGTGGACCTGCCCCCTGCTGCCGCTCAAACCCAGCGGGTGTTTGTACAGCAGAAGTGACGGTGGCGTTACCCAGTTACTGCTCCAACAAGGAAGGGCTCAGTGTTTGCTTTATCTGTCAGCACCTCTGCTTTGCCCCTTCCCCCCACTCCTCCCAGCAGCTGGTTTCCCAGAAGCATGTGTGGGGGTGAGGTGGGGGGGGAGACAGGCCACCATATCAAATCAGGGCCTGGTCGTGCTGGCCATCCCCAGCCCTAATCTCTGCCCCTACAGGCTAGCAAGCGAGAATCCTCCATGGCTCGTTTGGAGCTAGGCCAGTGGCGCTGGGAGATGGGTGCAGCTCAGGGCAACTGCACCTCCAGCAAAGGCCCCCACCCTCAGGTTCCCGGCTTCCTGGCTGTCACCTGTCTCAGGTGGAAACACACCTTGCTCCCTTCTGAGTGGTGTATCTCCAGGCTGAATGGTTCCCTGCCCCCCTGGCTTAGGGGCCTTGCTTGCTCTCCCTTCTGTGCCAGCCGACATGACTGCCATCCTATGCCAGCCAGTTGCTTTTCTCCTTAAAGGAAAAGCTCTCGAGAGACAATATTAAAAACACTCATGCACACGCTAACAAGCTGACCGGAGATCACCCGAGCCTGGGCTCGGGGAAACCCCCAAGGGGTTTCAAGTTCACCCCCACTTCAGCTCAGAACAAGCACACGCTCTTATGGGGTCTCGGTAGTGGGGTTGCCAATTTTGGTTGGACGTATTCCTGGTGATTTAATCACATGACATCACCTTTAATTAAAGATTCAGCTTTAATTCCTGGAGACGCCAGGCCAAGCCTGGAGGGTTGGCAACCCTACTTGGCAGGCCCAGCCCTTCCAGGGGTCTGACCAGGTGTCACGGAGTCCCCAGGCGATGCTCTGGGACTGCTCCCCATGAAGCCAGGCAGGACTCTGGGCAAGTCTCCTCTCTGGGAGCAGCCTCTCTGCAGGACACACAGCTCACCCGGCTCCACCTTCCTGGGTCTGACCTCGGAGCATTCAGCCTCCTCTGCCCCTCTGTGCGCTTCCCACAGCGAGTCCGCTCAGGCGGGGTCCTGGGGAAGCCAGAGGGTCCTGCCCCCCAACTCCGCAGTCAGACGGGACTCAGCCAGCCAGTAAAACAGAAGGTTTATTGGATGACAGGAACATGGTCTAACACAGAGCTTGTAGGTGCAGAGAACAGGATCCCTCAGCTCGGTCCATTTTGGGGGGGCAGTGAGCCAGACAACCACATCTGCCCTTCACTCCATGTCCCAGCCAGCCCCAAACTGAAACTCCCTCCAGTGCCCCCTCCTCTGGGCTTTGTTCCTTTCCCGGGCCAGGAGGTCACCAGATTCCTTTGTTCTCCAACCCTTTAGCTCTCACTCTGCAGGGGGGAAGGGCCAGGCCATCAGTTGCCAGAAAACAGGGTGTCGGCCATTCTCTGTGTCCAGACCCCTGCACACACCTGCCCTCTAGGGCTGTGCAATGATCATACACCCTTATCCCACCCCCTAAAGACTTAAGAACTGCATAGGGGAAACTGAGGCACCCCTACACTATTCAGAAGAAACATTAAGAACAGTCCCACTTCGTCACATCTCTCCCCCCTTCAAGATCAAACTGAGCGGGGTCACTTTAGCTCGTAACCTGGGGAAGTTCGAAGCCACCAACGTTCCCATGGATGCCCCAGCATCTCTCCCATTCCTTGGTGGGAGTTACAACAGGCCCTTCCAGTTTCACGCCCTCCCTTAGGTCGGGGGTGGTCGATAGCACTCGCAGGCAGCATGTGGGAAGGTTTATGCAGCCCATGCCCTTTGGCCACCCCAAAACCCCAGGGGGTCAAACTGGGACTGGGTCTTCCCCCAGAGCTCCAGTCTGGAGGGCTGCAATTCGGGCTCTCTTGGTTAAGAGCCCCCATCTTGACCTGGGCCACATACTGTTCACTTACAGAACTAGCATGGAGACATCCCTTTCTCAACAACCTTGTCTCCCCAACAAGCTGGCCAAACACAACCACTTGGTTAGAGGACGGTTTACCTTTCTTAACAGCTTTCACTCCATCTGAGACCTTCTCAAAGCTATCCACACTGGATCTTTCAACAGGAAAGTCAGCGGATCCATTCACAACAGAAAATTTCTGGCTCTCAGGAACGGAGACTTTCTTGATTAAATCACTTTCACACCCTTCAATTGCAGTAAACTGCTTGCAAAGACTCCATGAGGATTCCTTTCCCTAGGGCTTTTCTATGCAACAATTCACCCCTCACAGAAATTCTGCCTTTACCCTCTTTACCTAGGGCTTGCTCTAGAGGTACACTTTCCTGAGCAACAACAGACTCTTTCTGGGTCTCCCTTACATCCAGAATCACCTCTGGCCCATCCAGCGGATTCCTACACAATCCCCTTTCAGGCAAACTTACAGACTTCCTAGATAAAAGGTCAGAAGCATTCTCCTTCCCTTTGCCACACACTAGCAACAGGCAAAATACAAACACCAGAATTGTCTGGTCTCTGGGATTTTGCATAGACACTAACTGGATGCGACCTAGTTACAGGGCCATTCTCCCGAGCAGACACAAACTTAGGACCGTTCCCTTCCTGGGCTTTAGCTGAATCCAGAACCAACTCTGAGACAACTGCACTATTCTCAACCATCAGAGGCTGAAAGGCCCCTTCTGTCTGCTCCACAGACCAAGAAGAGCCGGACACATTTTCTCCTTTACCGACCCACAGCTTGGGATCTCATTCCCCTTGTCCCAGCACACAGGGCTGGTCACAGACAACTGCTTGGAGACCAGGGTAGCTCCCTCCATAGGCAAGTCAATACCCCTGACAGACACACGCACGTTTCCTTCCCTGTCACACTTCTCCACCCAGCTAACAGGTAAGGTCCAGGGACACTCATCTTCCACCCTCCTCGCCTTCCCACCCTGCTGACTAGACACAGCCGTCAGCTCACAAGGCTGCCTAGGCTCATCCAAACTTCCGTTACCAAGCACCTTGCCACTCCCCACAGATCCCCTGCCCTGCCTGTGTCTCCCCCCACTCAGCTGGGGTCTCAGCTCCCACTGTGCTCAGCGCTGCCCTTGCTGTCCCAGTGGGGTAGGCAGCGAGCTCGCTGCTTTCCTCACTGCATCAGAGCCAGCGTGAGCCCCCATGTCCGGTATGCAAGTGGGCAGGGAGCATCTCTCTGTCCCACCCAGCCCCAGGGGTCTGGTTACAGGCAGGCAGGTATCCTGAGCCTAGCCGCTCCTCCCCGCTGCCAGCCAGGTCATCTGCATTTTCACTGACCATTTCCCTCTCCACCGATTGGTTCCCTGGATTCAAATTCAAACCCTCGGCCATTACAGGAACAAGGCCTGGATCCTGTCCCAAAGAGACACAGTCACCCCATAACAGGGTCTCGCAGCTGGTGTCCTGGAGAACCCCAACGGCCAGCCAGCCCCACCCCTCCTGGGTCTGCACAGGGATCTGGGCCATAGGCAGGGTGAGGGGCTTCGTCCCTGGGACCCTCACCCAGCTCACACAGCCCCTCAGCATCTAAGGCTGCACCACCCAGGGCCTGACACCAGTTCTCTCTGTCCCAGGATCTCGCCACCCCAGGAATGTCTCCCCATTGACCGTCACCTTCTGCTCCCACTGGAGGTCTGAGGGACCTGACCCCAGGAAACTCCACACAGACATATAGGTTGGGATCAGGAGTGGGAGCCTGTCCACCTCCCCACCCATCTGGCTGATGGAGTCTATGGCCTTGGGACCCAGCAAGGGAGCTAGACACCGGGGCTTTTCCGCAGGGTCCCCCTGGTTCAAATCGCCAGCCTGCTCAAAGGCAGTGAGGTGGCATCCACATCCCCCCCCACCTTAACCAGGGGCAACAATTTAGTCTTGAGGTTCCCTGCGGAACTGGCCCCCCGGGGTCTATCCCCACTCACCCCGGGGAGGTCCCCTAGGCCTCTCCGCTCCCCCACCGCCAGTTCATGCTGCTGCTGTTTCTGCAGCTCTTTCTCGGGCTCTCGCTGTCTCTCCCGGTCCTCTCGCTCTCTCGGACTCAGCTCCAATCCCGTCTGTCTCGGATCCCCCGATGGGGAACCCGATCGTGAAGACCCCCGTCTTGGGGATGCCTGGCTACTACTCCAGCTGCTCCCAGATCCTGCTCTAGCCCCATTTGGGGTCAGGAATCTGCTCCTTAGAGCGGTCATCCTCCTCCAGCTGCACGATGAACTGTGCTTTGGTGAACTTTCCAACACTCAACCCTCTCTTTCTGCACAGGGTTACAATGTCCTTCTTCAGGAGACGGGGACAGGCCATCACTCCGCTCTTCCCAAGTTGTTGTGGACTCACAGGCCTGTGTGCTCTCAGTTCCCCATAGTTTCCAGGGAGAACCCCTAGTGTGCCAGCCCTTCTCGAGGTCACCACCTCTTTGCCAGGGTCGAGCTGCAGACTCCTCCGCCCCTGGGACCGCTAGCTGCAATCCCCCGGGGGACCCTGTTACTGCAAAAGTCCTTCTTTCTGGTCACACACTCTCAGGGGTTAACCGCCCGGTGAAACCGTCTCTCTCTGAATCTTCAGCAGCACTCCTGGTCCCCGTCAATCCCCCTTCGTTTTACTGCTCCCCAGTCACATACTGCGTCACGGGCTGCAGTAGATCCCACCGCTGCCGCCAGTTGTCACAGAGTCTCTGGGCGATGCTCTGGAACTGCTCCCCATGAAGCCAGTCAGGACTCTGGGGAAGTCTCCTCTCTGGGAGCAGCCTGTCTGCAGGACACACAGCTCACCCTGCTTCCACCTTCCTGGGTTTGACCTCAGAGCATTCAGCATCCTCTGCCCCTCCCTGTGCTTCCTACAGCGAGTCCGCCCAGGTGGGGTCCTGGGGGGGCCAGAGGGTCCTGCACCCCAACTTCGTAGTCAGACGGGACTCTCAGCCAGCCAGTAAAACAGAGGGTTTATTAAACAACGGGAACATGGTCTAAAACAGAGCTTGTAGGTGCAGAGAACAGGACCCCTCAGCTGGGTCCATTTTGGGGGGCAGTGAGCCAGACAACCACGTCTGCACTTCACTCCATGTCCCAGCCAGCCCCAAACTGAAACTCTCTCCAGCCCCCCCTCCTCTGGGCTTTGTCCCTTTCCCGGGCCAGGATTCCTTTGTTCTCCAGCCCTTCAGCTCTCACCTTGGAGGGGGAAGGGCCCAGGCCATCAGTTGCCAGGACACAGGGTGTCGGCCATTCTCTGTGTCCAGACCCCTGCACACACCTGCCCTCTAGGACTCTGCAATGATCATACACCCTTATCGCACCACCTAGATACTTAAGAACTGCCTAGGGGAAACTGAGGCACCCCAACACTATTCAGAAGAAACATTAAGAACGGTCCCACTTCGTCACACCAGGGTATTGTCAAGCTGTTGCAGGCCATCCTTGGCATCAGCCCTCTGGCCCCTGCGGGTATCTAGCCAGCCAGGCCACATCTGGGTCCTGCTGGATCCCGGCTTTCTGTTTTTCTAGCCTTCGCAGCAGGTCCGCTTGTGCAATTGACCCGGGGGGCTGGCTGCAGTCAGGCTCGGGAAGGGGCTGTTGACTTTTTGCCACTCTGCGGAGCGGATTTACTCATGCACAATTACTTCAGCTCTGTGAGCAAAGTGGGCCACTGTGTGTGCAAATAGAGGGCTCGGGGGGGGGGGGGGCGGGCGATCAGACAGGGCCTGCAGGAGTCTTATTGTTGCCCATTGGACCCGTCCTCCCACCCGCCCCCAGCCTCCTGTCCTACTGCCTCCATCTGAGGCTGGCAAATCCAGGCCTGTGCCTTCGGCCCAGTTCAGGAATCCCCTTCCTTGGGTAGGGGTGGGGCATGCTTTGGGCTGTCTCACAGCCGCTGCATGCAGGTGTGCACAGGTGTCCTGGGGCAATGGGAATAGGGCTCCATCCTGGGTTGCTAACAGCCCCCGGTCACAGGGCATTTTGTGCCTGCCCCAGGAGCAGCTGCTGTGTGCGGTTAGCTCACTGGATCAGATGAAGGGGTCTTTTAGATCCTGCTCTTTGTTTCTACTCATCCAGGTAAGGAGAACAAACATTTCTCCTGCAGAGAATAGGCCCCAGCCCAGCGCGGACCAAATCCTGCCCTGGGGCATGTGGGGTGTCAGCAGGGGTAGGAGGGTTCAACCCCCAATGAACATGCCCCCACCCCCACCGCTCTGCACAATGGCTGGGCTCCATCCTGCTCATGTAAGGTACAATCTGGCTTCACAGGGAAGGGCAGGAAACGGATTTCCTGCCAAACCAGTAAAACCACCAGCCTAGCCAGGTGAGCAGCAGGGAGACAGGAGGCGTCAAAGCGAGGACACCTCCCCCCAACAGGGCAGAGGGCATGGGACACACCCGGCTACAGGACATATGGAACATATGTTCCCCACACCCAGCTATGGGGCAGGGGGACAGGTACTGGGGTAGGGTGGGACCACACCCGGATATGGGGCAAGGAGCTCCCCAGCCCGCTTCCCCCCATTCCTCCTCCCCCTCCTCCTCCCCAGGCCCCCATTTCTTTGCTGAAGAGGGGGAGCGGCTGGGACTGGGTCCTCTCCCCTTGTGACTACCCCTCCCCCTTCTTTGTCCTCCCCCCCAATCCGCGGGGGGGCAGGGAGTCTGCCCCCCAGGTCTCCCCCCATACGGGGAAGAAACCTGCCCCAGGGCCCCCTGTATGGGGGTGGGGGGTCCTTGAGCCAATGAGGAGCCGGTTGGGGTGGGGGCTGGCAGCCCGGCGGCCAATGGGCGCAGGACGGGGCGGGGCCTTATGGCCGAGCTGGATACAATGTAGCGCTGGGAGCTTCCGCTGCGGAGACTCCGCTGGCAGGTGGCGGCTGTGGGGCGCCTGGGGTGGGGGCTTTGCTGGGGGTCCGGCCGCGCCCCGCTCTGCTCTGCTCCCGCGGCCCTGGGAAGGTAACGGTACCACGGGTCCCTTGACACCCCCCCCAGACTTGGGGGGCTTTAGATCAAAGCGGCCCCACCCCCTATCTCTCCCCACACCTCTGCCCCACTCCCACCCGGTGTCTCCCCCTCCCCTCCCCACCCCGTCTCCCCTGGGGTCCCCCCGTCTGCCCCATCCCCCTGCCACTCTGTCTCCCTTTGGGTGCTCCCTTCCCTCTCCCTCCCATGTCCTCCGGACTCCCCCCCCCCCAGTGCCCCCCATCCTCTGCCCCTGGATGCTCCTTCCCTTCCCTGGCACTGCCCCTCTTACCTCCCTCTTCCCTCTGACCCCTTCCGTCCCCACCCCCAGGGTTTCTCTGTTCTCCTCCTTCTGCCCACAGAGAGGGCATCTCTCTCTGCCCACCCCGCTCTCTCCCCTGCCGTGGGGCTGCCCCGTCTGCTTGGGTCCTAGGATCGCTCCCTCTGCAGGGTTGTACCCTGGTGCCCTTTGTCTTGCTCTGCTCCTGTCCCTTAATTCCCCTGGCCCCTGCGCTCCACTCGGATGGGAAGGTGACCCCTACTGCAAACAGAAGAACCTGGACTGTGGGTGCTAGGGGGTTAATTTAATTCTGGGGCCAGTCCCACTTAGGGAGAGGAGACCAGCCTGGCTCTGAGCCCTCCAGGGGCTGGCGAGTAAAGAGCCCAGCTCTGAACGGAAGGTGGGGGGCGGCTCGGCGTGGGTGCCAGGTGTCAGTGTGTGTGTGGGGGGGCGCCCCTGGAGCGGGGAGATGGAGGTTGCAGGGTGGGGCTCGGGGGCTGTCTGGATCACTTGAATCAGAGGGTGTTCTGGGTGGAGGGGGGCAGGAGATGGGGGGTGCTGGCTGAGGGTCCCCTTGGATGCTGGGGTGGGAACCTGGGGCATATGGAAGGTCCCTTGAGGGCAAGGATACTGGCTGCACTGGGGGCAGGGATGGAGGGTACTGCATGGGGGTGCCACGAGGAGGGTGGGGGGGCACTGGGTGGGTGGAGGCCTAGGTGGGGAGGAGATCCAGGGGGGCCATGTGAAGTGCGCTGGGCGGGTCTGTCCCTCTGTCCATCCATCCCCTCCCTCCAGCGGGGTCTGGCTGGACAGAGAGCTCCCCCCCCCCCGGTTGCTATAGAAACCCCTCCTCGGTGCTCATCAGCCAGCTCCTGTTTGCTGTGGCCACCAGCCCTTCCCAGCAGCCTGGGGGGGACAGGGGTTGGGGTGCTCATTGGATCCCAACCACCTGTTGGAGTCTCTGGGGCGCTGTTGGCTGCCTAGGGGCTACGCTCTCCTGGTGAGTGATGGGGGGCAGCTCCCCCCAGATGCTTGGGGGCAGGAATGGCAAAGGGGCTGGGAGGGGGAGACACTTCCCATCATGGGGTGGGGAGGCTTGAGGTGGTGGAGGGAGGTCTGGTTCCCCCACGCGTGGCTGCCCAGCCCCATAGACTCCCTGAAGGTCCTGGCGTCACCCATTGGGATGGATTGACCTAGTTTAGACCTGACTGTTGCTCTCTGGTTGTCTGCCTCTGCTTCCCCCCTCCCCCCCCCACTCCACCGCTCTGTGGGTTTGGGGTTATTTCCACCTCATTTCTGAGCCAGCTGTGAGCCCGGAAGAGGGCCGGGGTCCCCGGAGCAGAAGGGCAGGACCCGTCCCGTGGGGGGGGACGCGGGCCCATGAGGGGTGGAAGGGGTGGAATAGCCTCTGCCAACATCCTGCTTGTGGTAGCAATCGCCCAGGCAGACCCGTGGGCTGGGTCCCCCTGGAGTCGCTAGCATCCCCCTGTGGTGGGAGCTCAGGTTAGGGTCCCCTCTGAAGACTGATGCCCCCCCACACCTTTCCTGCCTCACCGCCCAGCAGGACAGGCCCTGGGGATGAGCCCCCCATCATCCTCCTGGCATGTTTGCTGGGTCAGGACATTCCTAGCAAATGTGCCTCTGGCTGGCTTCCCTCTTCCTAGTCCCCCATCTCTGCCACGACCCTGGGGGCTGTAGGGGGTGGGGGACTGGGGATCGATCCCTGTCCCAGCTCGCTCAGGGCTACAAGTGTTGCAGAAGGAACTGGGGAGGGGGGATAGTGTGGGGCAGAAATCCCGGCCAGGTGGGGGAACAGCTGGGACAAAGTGGTCAGATCCTGGACCCTGGCAGGGTGCGGGCACCGGTGCCAGGGGGGTGAGCGGGGGGTGGCGTTTCCACTGTCTCTGCCCCTTTATGGGTTTAGCTTTGGATTCTGCTCCTGTCCCAGCTGAGCCTGGCTGTTAATTAACGATTAAGCTGTAAGGTGCGGGGAAGGTGCGGGGAAGAGTCGCCCTTTCTGGTGGCTTCACTCAGCGCCCCCCACGCCAGCATCCTGACCCGCTCTCTCCCCCTAGGCCGTGTGAAGCCCTCCCTGGGCAGCATGGTGCTGGGGGGTTTCAAGGGCCCCTGGCTGGCCTTCTATGTGGGCATCGTGATCGGCTTCCTCAGCACTTTCTACCTGCTCAACGGCCTGCTCTGGCCGCAGCCCCCGGGCCCCGAGAGCCAGACACCCCACCCTGATGTCGACTCCTTCTGGGTCGTCCAGCACCTGGCGCTCCTCAGCACTGGCCACCCGCACCTCTCAGGTGGGCGATGCCAATGTTGGGGGGCACTGGGGGGATGGAGGGATCCTGCAAGGGCCGTGGGGCGCGGTGGCCGTACGGGAGAGGGGGTGGGGGGCTGTGGATTGATCGTGCAGAGGCTGGGAGAGGGAGCAGGGCAGCCAAGCTGGGACCAGGGGCTGTGGGGTGGGGTGGACACAGATGGGCCAGGGCTCGCTTGCCCCTGGGGGATCCCCTCAGATTGATCCTGGCAGCCGCACTAGGGGGATCGGGCACCATCCTCCACTCGGCTGCAGCTCCCCTCCTGTGCCAGCTGGCAGGAGACCCCCGGAAAATCACCAGCCCCCTGCAGCCTTCACACCCCCACTCCCCTGCCCCCTTCGGGAGGCTGCTTGGCGGAGACAGAGGGGATCCTGGCGCCGGGGCAGGGAACCCCTGATGCAGCTGTGCGGCTGGCCAGCGCGTGCACTGGAATTGGCAGGAATTGCCCCCCGGAGGTGGGTGGCAGGGGGAACTGGAGAATGGTCCCTCCTGGGCAGTTTCACCCTGGCCTAGATTTATTGCACTTTCAATAAATGAGAGAAGCCTGCCCCACCTCACCTCCCATTGTCCTTGCCCGGTTCAGCGTGTACACCAGGTTCGATGGGCTCCGGGAGGCCCTGGCACCGGTGCCTGCGCCTACCTGCAATGCCAGGGGCCAGCTCAGTCTTGGGGCAATTGGGGAGGTGGGGGTGTCTCCCCCGGCCGCCCCCGTGCGCCTAATGCTCTCTCCGTGCCCAGGGGAGGTCAGCGTCACCGCGGCCGAGCTGTACAGCAAGGTGCGGATCCTGTGCTGGGTCATGACGGCCCCCAGCAACCTGGAGACCAAGGCCCGGCACGTCCAGGCCACGTGGGCGCGGCACTGCAACGTGGTGCTCTTCATGAGCTCGGTGCAGGACGACGGCTTCCCCGCCGTGGGGCTGGACACCAAGGAAGGCCGGGACCAGCTGTACTGGAAAACCATCCGGGCCTTCCAGTATGTCCACCAGCACCACCTGGAGCAGGCCGACTGGTTCCTCAAGGCGGACGACGACACCTTCGTGGTGCTGGACAACCTGCGCTGGCTGCTGGCCAACCACACGCCCGAGGCGCCCGTCTACTTCGGGAAGCGCTTCAAGCCCTTCGCCAAGCAGGGCTACATGAGCGGCGGGGCCGGCTACGTCCTCAGCAAGGAGGCCCTGAGGCGCTTCGTGGAGGGCTTCAGGACCCAGGTGTGCAGCCACACCACCTCGGTGGAGGACCTGGCGCTGGGCCAGTGCATGGAGAAGATGGGGGTGCGGGCGGGGGACTCCCGGGACGCCGCTGGGCGGGAGACTTTCCACCCCTTTGGGCCCGAATCCCACCTCACCGGGAAGTTCTCCAAGAGCTTCTGGTACTGGAACTACTGCTACTATCCCATTGTGGAGGTATGTGGCCGCCTGCTTGCCTCCCTCCCGTGGTACCCTCTGGGCGTGGGTGCCCCGGCTGCCTTCCCTTCCTCTCCCCTGGGCCTGGGTGCCTGGGCTGCTTTTATCCCCTCGTGGCATCCTTCGGGCGCGGGTGCCCAGGCCGAACTGAGCGCAGGCCCTGCTGTTCCGGCTTCTCCGTGGCCAGGGGAGGTGGTTCCGTGGTCCAGGCCGGGGTGCCAGGTACCCAGCCCGCAGGCCTCTAAGACCCCCCAGCAGCACGTGGACCCCACGTAGCTGCCTGGGTCCCACCGGTGGCCTCTCGTGGAAGGGGTGGGTCTCAGCCTCACGTTGGCTTGGTCCCTGGGGCCTCTGGTACTTTTGCGTGCCCGCGCTCCTGCAGATGGGCAGCTCCCGAAGCTGCGGGGATCGTGGTGCCCCGTGGAACCCAGTGGATAAGCGGGCAGAGTTAATAGCAGTAGCCAGCCAGCGGTGCTGCCCCGAGGGGGGCCAGATCCTGGTCCAGAGCCAACGCCCGTTCTGCCCCCAAGGGAGCAGGGATGGGATTGGGGGCAGGGAGTTGGGGGGAGGTCCAGCACGCTGCCTGTTTGCTGCTCATTGGAGGCTCCTAGCAGGACGGTCCCGTGGCTTGCACCAGGGGGGTGGGTGGGAAGGGGGGGGATCTCTATTGGGGCTGCTCCTCCTGCCCTATTCACACCCCTTTGCCTGGCTCGGGGCCTCTCCCATGAACCCTTGCCCTCCCGCGCTCTGCAGGGCCCCCAGTGCTGCTCCGACCTGGCCGTCTCCTTCCACTACGTGAGCCCCGAGCTGATGTACACCCTGGAGTTCCTGACCTACCACCTGCGGGCCTACGGCTACCGTTACCGCTACCAGCCGCCCCTGCCGGAGAACGCTGCCCGCCTGCTGCGGCGCCGGGGGCGGCCGAAGGTGGCCAAGGCTACGCTGCTGGTGCAGGGCACCAAGGGACTATAGGGGGGCTGGGAGGCGGCAGTCGGTCCGGGGTCGAGCGTCCAGAGGCTTTGTGCCTGAGGTGAGGCGGGCACCCTGGGCGAGCCGTGGCCGGGAGCCACGTGGCAGCCCCTGGACTGGATGAGGGCGCGGGGTGTCTCGGTCTAGCTCCCGTCCCAGTTGGCACTGACTGACCCCCTTGCTGGTAGAGGGGCGGAGGGATCCCACATAGAGGGTCCCCTCCAGGGCAGGGGAAGGCTCAGTCCATGGGCCCTGGGGGCTTTATAATGGGGAGGTGGTAGGCACTGTCCCAAGGAGTGAGGGGGCGGGGAGTAGCCAACTCTCCCCCCTTACCCCGCAGAGGGGCCTGGAGGGTGTGAGGTCTGAGGAGGGCACATTTCCCCCTTGTGGGGGGGAGGAGGAGGAGCTGGGATGCCATGATGGGGGCACATGGGGTGGCATGTGATGGGGGTGGCAAGGAGTCCTGGGGGCAGGGTCTGGCTGGGCTGGAGAGGGCGCCGGGGAGAGAGGCCCTTGGCAGTGGGGACGCTGAGGCGGGCAGGCATGCGAGAGGCAGAAGCGCTGCCCTTGGCTGGAGGTCCCCGACGCAGAGGTGCCCGGGCCCGACCAATCGCAAATTGTGGGCAGAGAGAGACCCCGTGGCAAGCCACGGGCAATACCACTACATGGTGAGGAGGCCACGGGTGATACCGCCGCCTCCAGATTTGGCTGGAGCCCTGCCACGGATCAGTCTACTGCATGGTGAGGGGGGCCACGGGCAATACCACTGCGGCGTGAGCTGGAGCCCTGCCAGAGATCATACCAGTACGGGTGAGCAGGCCACGGATCATACCACTGCGTGGTAAGGGGAGCTATGGGTGATACCACTGCCGACTAAGTTGGAGTGCTGGCCACGGATCAGACCATGGCAGGTTGAGGGGGCCACAGGCTGAGCTGGAGCCCTGCCACGGATCATACCACTGCACGGCAAGCAGGAGCTCGGCAGCAGATGGCACCACTTCACAGCCTCACTTGTGGCTTCTCTTTGTTTTTTGAAATGCCCGTGGCAGCCCCCCACCGCCACGTGGTGGACGGGAGCAGGGGGGTCTCCTCACTGTCCTGAGGGGCTGAGTGGGCTGTGGGGTGAATAAACACTGCTTTGTTTTTTTTAAAGAGAAGAGCCGTGACCTGGTTTTAGCTTCCCCTCCCTGGCTCCCGCCGCTGTGTCTGGGCTCTGTCTGTGGCAGCACCCAGGGCTGAGCGGGTGCTGACCACGGTGCCCATAGGGCCCAGCTACGCCCAGCCTCAATGGGTGGGTTGAGCCCAGCCCGGAGGCACCTGCACGCGCCAGCCAGGGGTGACTCCTTGGCCTGGCAGGGTCAGAGCAGGCAGCTGCTGGCATCTTGCTGGGGGTGGGGTTGGGGTTGGGGCTGCAGACAGGGCAGGGGAACTTGGCTGGCAGGGTGGGTGCAGGGGACCAGCCAGCTGATCAGCGCCATGCGGGACAGGTTCCCTGCACCCACTTTGTGGCTGGGGTCAGACTCCAGGCTGTGGCTCTAGGTGCTTCCCCTGACTCCCACCCCCCCCCACACACACCCCCCCCAGCTGAGGTGTTTGCGCAACAGGGCCTGAGCTGGACGCTTCTTGTCCAGGGGCCTGGGCCTGGGCCTGGGTCCCAACCCGAGCAGGGCAGCCTTAGCCCCGGAGGTGTGGAGACATTAACCCCTTCCCCCCCAGAGTTGAGTCCGCCTACGCTTTGCAATGTGGGAAAGACGTCATGGCCCAAATGCAGCTGGCTCTGGGGTGGAGGGCGGCGGCTGCACGGCAGGGCTGGGAGGTGAAGGGACGCCAGGGGGTGAGATCTGTGCTGCCAGCCGGAGGGGAAGAGGTGGTGGTTCACAGTTAACTATGGCTGTGCCGGCTGGAAGGTTCAGTGGGGGAACGGCTGGGTAAGGACACGTGCCTCCGTGGGAGGGAGCTGCTGGCACTTTGCTCCGTTCTTCACCCCCCCCCATCCCTGCAGTTCTTAAGTCTCTAGGGGGTGGGATAAGGGGGTGTGATCGTTGCAGAGTCCCTGAGGGCAGGTGTGTGCAGGGGTCTGGACACAGGGAATGGCCGACACCCTGTCTCCTGGCCACTGATGGCCTGGCCCTTCCCCCCTGCAAGGTGAGAGCTAAAGGGTTGGAGAACAAAGGAATCCGGTGCCCTCCTGGCCCGGGAAAGGAACAAAGCCCAGAGGAGGAGGGGCCGGAGGGAGTTTCAGTTTGGGGCTGGCTGGGGATGAGGAGTGCAGACGTGGTTGTCTGGCTCCCTGCCCCCCAAAATGGACCCAGCTGAGGGGTCCTGTTCTCTGCACCTATAAGGTCTGCTTTAGACCATGTTCCTGTCGTCTAATAAACCTTCTGTTTTACTGGCTGGCTGAGAGTCCCGTCTGGCTGCAAAGTTGGGGGGCAGGACCCTCTGACTTCCCCAGCACCCCGCCTGGGCGGACTCGCTGTGGGAAGCGCACAGAGGGGATTCAGAGGATGCTGAATGCTCCGAGGTCAGACCCAGGAAGGTGGAAGCCGGGTGAGCTTCTTGCCCTGGGGACAGGCTGCTCAGAGAGGAGACTTCCCCAGAGTCCTGCCTGTCTTCGTGGGGAGCAGTTCCAGAGCATCGCCTGGGGACTCCATGACAGCCCCCTCAAGGATTGAGCTCACAACCCTGGGTTTAGCAGGCCAATACTCAAACCACTGAGCTATCCCTCCACCTGGCCTCCTCTTCCTCCCCAAACCCCTGCCACACCGCCTCCGCCCTTTGCACTCTTCTTCTCACATCACCTGGCCCCACCTTCCCCCCCAGCCTGGCCCCTCCCGTCCAGCGCTTGCTGACGTGGGGAAGGGAAATAAGGAAACGGTTCAAAGTACTTTTAGCAGCTGGAAAGGCTGCAAAGGATCTGGTGCCATGTGCCCAGCCATGCCCCCTCCCCCGCCTCCCACTGTCCCCCCGCCAGAGCTCTGCGGGTCGCCCGTCAGGAGCCCCTGGCTCAGGGCAGCACTGAGCTTTGCATCAGGCATCCAGGACTCAGGCTCTGGGTTGCCCACCGGTCTCTAGAGGGATCAGGCAGGGTGGGATTTCTCCCCTGGGTTGCATGGGGGCCTTGCTGGCCCATGAGGCATCGTGAGTTGGTCACGGTGGGAGACCAGGCCAGCTGGACCAATGGACCAACATCCAGCTGAGAGCGAAGATCCTAGTGGAACTACGTTCACCCCTGGAAAAAGCCCCGGGAGCCCCTGGCCTTGTCCCTCTGCTCTTGGGTTCCCATGATGTGGAGGTGCATTAAAGCAGGATCTGTCCAGGGCAGGTGCTTGGTGTCAGGCCCCAACTGGGGTGCCGCAGTACATGGGAGAGACTCCGGGGTGGGGCTTGGGTATAGTCACCGTGACATGCTGCTCTTCTGTGTGCACATTTCCGGGGCCAGGACAGTCTCTTTGCTGCTCCCCGGGGAGGCGAAGCTGCAGCCTCCGGCGAGAGCTGGATCCTTGGAGCTCAGGGAGTGGTGGCTGGCTTGGGGCAAGCCGGCCTAGCCCTCTGCAGGAGCTTGAGCTGCAGTCTGAGCAGGGGGAGCCGATCCCTTGGGCTGATGTGCAGGAGGATAAAGGTGAGCAAAAGTCTGCCCCGTGCAGGAGGTGACGGGGACAGACACACTTGGCTGCCTTCGCACTGACCCAGGCCCCGATGATATGGCAGCACCAGGGGTTAATGAAGGTAGCCAGTATTCCCTTCCCTCCGACAGGGATCACAGAGCCAAGCAGCACCCCAGGACCCCAATTCTCCTGACCTGGCTCTGGGGCTGGGGAGGGGACGGTGGCTCCCCACAGAGGAGGAGGGGAGTGAGATCAGCGGTCCCTAGAAGATGGACCTCTCTCACCTGCCAGGCTACAGCCTGGCGGAGGGTGCAGGTTTCATGCCGTGGGTGGCCACCAGACATGGTTGGTGGGTTCTGGGCAGGAAGCAGCGTGTATTCTAGGACCTTGGCACCTAGTCCCTGTGGGGGCCGAGTCGCTCCCTGTGAGCTGTGCCCAGCAGGAGGAAGTCTCTGATGAATCTCTCCTTGCGGATGCCTGATCAGGCTCTGGGTTGTCCACCGGTCTCAAGAGGGGTCAGGCAGAGTGGGATTTCTCCCCTGGGCTGCAACATAGAATCATAGAATATCAGGGTTGAAAGGGACCTCAGGAGGTCATCTAGTCCAACCCCCCTGCTCAAAGCAGGACCAAACCCCAATTTTTGCCCCCGATCCCTATATGGCCCCCTCAAGAATTGAACTCACAACCTTGGGGTTAGCAGGCCAATGCTTAAACCCCTGAGCTACCCCGCCCCCCAGTGGGTGACTTAGAGACCCAGCCCGCTCTCAGATGAAGTTGGGGCATTGTGGGATTGTTGCAGGAGGTCTGTGTGTGCTGCTACAGGGGATCAATGCCAATGCAGGCAAAATTAACCGGCAAAACTTCATAGCATAGGCCAGGCCCAAGGCAAAAGCTGTCAGGTGATAGAGACAAAGCGGGGCTGGGCGGAGGGGGGGGAACTGGGTGCTCAGATGAGATGTGGGAGGGGTAGGGTGACCAGATTTAATGGAGAAAATACCGGGACACATGGGGGAAGTTGAAGCAAAAAACAAAATGCTGGAGTGGCCAAATCCGCAATGTGGGGATGCAGGACAAAGACCTAAAAATCGGGACAGTCCCGATTTTATCGGGACATCTGGTCACCCTAGGGAGGGGATCGGGGCTGAGCACAGGAGCAGCTGTGGGGGACTCAGTATCCAGGCAGCATCTTGACCCAGCATGTGTCCCAAGTGTCCCCTCTACCCCCCGAGAAGTGGATAAAACGCAGGGTCCCGGATCGAGGGGAGTTTCTATGTTTTGTTTGGTTCCGATTTGGACCCAGACCAATTTAAGGGGAATGGTGTTCCCCTGGACTGGGCAGCCTGAAACTGATGGGATCCTTGTCAGTTTCATATCTGCAATCCAGGGCTCCCAGAGCCCTCTGGCTTTGGGACAGCCCTGCCATGCATACTCCCCAGGCTCAGGACTTGGGCAGGCCCGGGAAGCCAGAGGGCCAGGAGCAATGAACCCAGAAGCCCTGGCTTGGACTGGGGTTCTCTTGGGGCTCCAGTTCTGTGACAGGGACCCGGAAAGCCCTGGATGCAACCACAGACCCTGGAAAACCGGGGACCCCCCACAGCCCTTCCAGAAACCAGGCAGGTGCCATCAAAGCCCTGCCTGTGACTGGCTGAAAATTCATTGACCCCAAGGTGGTTCCGCAAAATGTTTCAGTTTTGACAAATCAGCAAAAATTCCTGCCCAGCTCCAAACTTACCTGTTCTGTTGCCCCCCCACTTCCCCGCCGGCCCCCAGCAGCCCACTTCTCCATGAACCAGGCGGATACTGACCCACAGGAACAAAGCAATGGCCAGACTGGCTCAGAACTGAGGTCCATTGAACCCAGGGGCCTGTCTGACAGTGCCTCCACCAGACACTTCCGAGGAATTTGCGAGAACCCCCCCAGTCAGCAGATATGGGATAAACCAGCCCCCACCCCAAAATCTGTCTCTCTCTCTCATCTAATAGAGATTAAAGCAGGTGGTTTCATGTCTCTTCCAGAATTTGCCAGCATTAACTAGCCTAATACTTGTTACCGATTGCAATGTCCAATCCTGCTTTGAATGCTTGGCCTCAGACAGTCATGTGGCAAGGAGTTCCACAGTCCAACCACATGTCATCTACAATAAGTATTCCCTTGGCTGTGCAGAGAGCTCTGTGGGGGTTGGAGCCAGCTCTGCATGCGCTCCTTGCTCCTGCATCATGGGCAGGCAGCTTATTCTGGGTCACCTCATACAGATCGGACGTGCCGCCTCGCCATGAAGCTGCTCCCCAGGAGACAAGAGCTGTGGCTTTGCCTCGGCATGGCTGTGGGGCTTGCCATGGGATTTACCTTCATCTATGCCTTCAGGACAGAACAGAGCATGTCTGCGTTGGTGCAAAGAACCCACTACTATCGTCACCCAGGTGAGGGATGGACATAGTCTTTCTAATGCCAGAGCTGACCCCTTCCCCCAGACCTGGGTCAGGGAAATCCCCTATGGCCTTATGGAGGTGAGTCATTGAATTGTAGCTCACTTGCAAGTCAATGGCTGTTGATGGTTGGTTGACACCTGCCCGGGCGTTGGTGACTTTCCTGGCTGTTGTCTCTGGAGAGCTAAAATCTGGCTGATTCCCCAATTTACAGCACATTTTACTGACAGCCATGTAACACAATCGCATGTAACACAATCCGATAACTGCATATGCACTAATGATACAGCTGTTTAGAGAGAACAGTGGCTTTCAGCAGATCATAACCTTTCCCCCAAAACCTCACATGACATGCCTTACATGGAATATCGCAATTATCTATACCTGAGGAATATAAGGGCTACAGGGTGCTCCCCCGAGGTATAGAATGTCACACCACCCCGCTTCGTTTATTGCAAGAGGGTTAGTCACTGACTAGCCCGAAGGCAGTTTGTGTTATGGTTCTTTTGGCATCCAGCCATCAAGGCCATGAGGTGGCATGCCTCGGTTTCCCCCTTCACACAGCAAACCAGATTTGTTATGGTTTCTCTGCTGTGGTGAGCTTTAAATCTGTTTACAGGTATTAACTGAGAAGCAGCGTTATCAGAAGCTTTCTTAATATGACAGGTGTCTTCAATTACCATTTCTACTGTGTCCCAAGGCTCGTCCCAAAAATTGTGCATAATGTATCTTATCACAAGGTTTAACATTGGTATCAAAATTCTTATCCCAAGACTTAACATTAATATCAAAATGTTTGTCACAGCTGGGCATTTAGAAGTATCTTTATGATCCCATGCCCTCTGTTCAGACAGTCTGGTTTGAGGTTGGTTTGTTTATTACCCATGGTGTCCTTTGCCTCCCTCCAATGTAATCAGTCATTGGCTTTTCTTTCCCTCCCTCCAGTGTTCCCGTCTGCCTGGTTTCTTAGTTTAATCATGTTTCTGGGATTTTGGGATCTCAGGGTCTGGCAAGACAGGGATCCTGCACATTGACTGGCCCTTTGGGGCGCTGTCTTCCAACCCCAGGACTGTACATATGCAAAAATATTCAGCTTCCTTTTTGAGATTAACCTGTTTTTCCTGCCTCCCAGCACTGGGTCCTTCCCTGCCCCCTTTCCCAAGAGGGCTTTTATCTGTGCTCTCTGGGCTAGGTGTGTTTACCCTTTCATCAGATTTACCTTTTTCCAGCAGCTGTCCCATAACTTTTCCCTGTCTCTCACCAGCCTGGGGGAAAACATCCCCCTCTCTGTCAGTTGGGTCATTTGTATTCTGGCAAACTATTGTGATGGAGTAGGGATTGGGGAGTTTTGACCTGGGGGTT